GAAGATATGAAGAATAACTCTGCCAATTATTTCAGGACGAAAAGTTTTCTCCTTTATTCCTTTTAGCACCTTTATCCATCTTTCCACGTATTGAATTCATTATGTTTAGGTTAAGGAAATCACAGCCCAGGTCTACACACAATAGTTGCACTGGTTTAATGAAAGCTGTGATTTTGCACTGTTTTACTTAAACTGGTGCAACTTTGTGTGTGAACAGTCTTTTATCGATTGAAACCTGGCTTACATCAGTTTAGCTTGCCCAGGTTATTTAATTGCACCTGCAAGTACTTAACAGGGCCAGTTAAACCAATATATCCATGTACAAGCACAAAGGTGTACTAGTTTAACTAAATCATTGCAACATCACCACTTATTTAAACCAGTGCACTTTGTGTGTAGACCAGGACACGGCATTTGTAGTGACAAAAACTTGGATGGCACAAATAAAGGATTGCATTTCACAATAAGAAAAAAAAACAACTTTAATATTCTATAACTACATTTAAATTCATAATAAATGTTTATTTGCTACATTACAATAAAGATTCATTGAAATATTGTATTTTTAACCTTGTTATTTATTTAGTGTTGCAAACAGTGTTGAAAAACTAATGATAAAGAAAATAGATTTTAAAACTGCAAGCTGTAGAATAGCTTTTAGAAATGCTAACTCAGGCAGTAATGTGATTCGGTTGACACTACTAGAATGATCAGCATACCTTCCATCAAAATATCTGCCAAATAATCTGTAGTGTGAGCTAAACATCCGATTTTGTTGTGTAGTATCTATCAGTACATGCAATATAAACTTGATTTCAGGAGGACCCATTGGACAAATATTTACATTTACAAGCTATATTTATGTTTTCTTGGCATCTGTCCCAATGAATGTATCAAAAAAGTAAGCACGGGGTTATGAATTTAACCATTTGTATAATTTAACATAATTTAACATTTTAAAATGTGTTCTTATTTATTCTGTTTTCAAAGGAAATAGAGTTATGGAAATTAAAGGAAGATTTCAGGGAAATCATTTAAAACACATTAATTATCATTTGGCCAAATACTGAAATTCTTTTTATTCAGTCCTTACTGGGGCAAAACCCCGGTGAGAGTTTGCCTGAGTAAGGAAGGAGGTCTGGATCCACAAAGGGAATTAGACATTGCAACACTGAATGTTGTTTTACTTCTAGGCCCTAGTAAATCACT